TGCTCTACTGTCGGACATTCCAAAATGAATCACAATTCCAACATGTTTTGTGTGTCCAACTGGCACTCTCCGCTGCCACATCTTCATGGCCCATGTTCATTGCGGCCTAGTCCACAGCCCATACCGAGTCCAGCCTCCGACTCTTAACATCCGAAACTCTGGATTTTAGACCGTAATGATTCAAGAGTTTGTTTAATTGGAGGTCAAATTTATTTCTGAAAATTTACATTCTTCGTTTTATTTTCTGTGAAACCACAACTTTTCTTTACTTTTCTTTGTATACCTGAAAATATGTCATCTTCAGCACTGTTACGGGCTGCACCCTCTTTGTTTTCCTTGAATTCAAACAAATTGATCTGAAAGAAAGGAGCCCATTTCATCTGTCTGGAGTTTCTTGTAGTATTACGACACACGCTTTTGTCCTTGAACTTTCCAATTTGGAGATGCGTTGTTTCACTTTTTCACCTTCACCAGGATGATCCTTCCGGGTCCCTATCATGCGCTCATGCTATATGCAGCGTCAAGCGATCATCAAAATTGCAGGGTTGTAGTGCTGTGGATTTCAATAATGAAGAAACAACTCCTGCGCTAAATGAATTTCTAAATATCATTTACACTGTCTTGACCTGAAATTTTCAGAATCAAGGAGATTCACTACAAGTTTCTCCAATCTTTTTGAACTTCCAGATGGTTTAATCACACCTGGATCACCAAAAACTTTACATGGGTCTTTGTCAGAACCAGAAGTTCCTACGCACCAGCCCCCGGGTGTCAATTGGCCATTGGATCTCCTCAGAATATCGGTATCGATTTTGTCCAGAACCCCGTCATCCTTGCCAAATCCGTGAGCAAATATCGCACCACTTTGGACCATGTCATCAAAATGTTCCAGCGTTAAATTCATGGGATTTTGCTTTTGAGGGTCGTCCCATCTGATATAATGCAGGTCATGGTTCACAGTTGTATTCTGAAAATCTTTATGATTACAAAGCAGAGTGTGGAAGTAGCCCTCTGGGGACAACAGGAAATTTGTGTAGTACATGAGCAGCGTGCGGGGGAGATTATCCCACCCCCAAATGCAAAACTCAAGAAATGATCTAGTAAGCACCACTGATGAAGATCCTGAGATCAGATAAAGGTGAAAAAGGGGGTGAAAACTTAGGTGAACTTAGAACTGTTCTAAATTTAGGTCGTGACTACAGTTAGACAAGCCATTTAACCGGTCATTTCCGTTTGACATTAAAAAGTAAAATCTGAAAGTGAAGTCTGCACTTGCTAGCTTTTTGAACAATGAAAATAACAAAGGCTACAAAGACTCGACAACTAGCAAGATGAGCACTGCAGATTAGCTCTGCAATCAACTAACGATATGAAAGTAAATTCTCTTTGCTGTCCCTATACTCTAACACAAAAGAAGAACTACTTTTCCAACCTTAAACCAGTCACCATAAACCTCCCATATCAGATGAATACGAGGTCACTATTGCTTCTTGGACTTTCTACACATTTCATGCACGTCAAAATATTTAATTAGGAAAAAAACTATTTAATTAGGACATGTATGATTTTTAGCAAGAACTGATGAGAAAATATATACATTACGAGCATGTTTGCATGTGTGTGTGAGAGAGAGAGATAGAGAGAGAGAGAGATTAACGCAAAAAGACAGTCCCAGCCAAGCTGTGGTAAATGTGAAAAAAAATATGTCTATGGCTGTATTAAATCCATAACCTTTAAGCCAAGCCAGCAGAATTCCAATCCATGGCGTACCCCTAGCTAGTGGTTTACTCTTGGACCTTATTACAACCTCAACTAGTTTGTAAGCATGTCAAGTGATGATTCAAAGTCTATGTACTTCCCAACCTGAGGAAAAAATTGAATCTGCAAATTGGCAAAAGATTCTACGTAGTGTTAACACCCCAACACCCCCCTTCCCCCCAACAAAAAAATGGAAAAAAGGAAAGGGGAAGAAGAAGAGGAAAATCTTTACCTTGATGTATATAATAGATAAATAATGGTTAATTACCAATTTTATATTGTCTACTGGTTAAAGAGAGTTAGTTCTCTATGTAAAGATAAAGACCTTAACCCAGGCAATTACAGTGACCACAATAGCAAACACATTAGCATTACTAAGAGGGTGTAAATCGTCTAAGAAAGACAAATTCTCATAAGATTCAATTTTTTAATGAATAGGATAAACAACCAGGATCAGAAGTAGTTCCAAGGACGAACCTATAAATATCTTGAAAGAAGCAGGCACTGATCGCTTTTCCTTGGCCCAAAATACACCAGATCTCTTAGAATGATAAAAGCCTGGATCTATAATTATAGGTCTCACTCTCTGGAACCTGCAAGTGCATACAATATATGTTTGAGAATATTTCAACTGCCAAGACAACAAGGAGCACTTTCAAAAGAAAATGGTATTCCAGGAGACAAGTAAGAAGTCCAGGGTAGCTCACTCTTTCCAACCAAGATCACTTGTGTGCTCAACAAAATTCAGGTCCCTGGGCAAGAATGAGAAGATGTGCAGGATATCTGCACCAAGATAAGCGTGTTTTGCTTAACATGAATATCAAAGGCGAAATCCTTCCACATCTTTTATCCACAAATAGCTCATAATCACGCCAATGGGAATGAGGTAACTCAAGAACTCAAGGAAAATATACAGGTCATATCTGATAAAAATAATGTTCATCCATTTTTCAAGTGTTTCATCATTGTTTGTTGCAAAAAGAAGCAATAAATGCACAATAAAATCGTACTTCCACGGCAATAGTTTTGACATCCTCCAATACAAAGTAAACAGTTTAAAAATCTCATAAGAAATGAAAAAATTAGTAATAACAAGTGCTCTGTTATTCTGTCCGCATGTTTATCAGTGCAAAACCACAAACCCTTACGTTCCCCTTGATGTTGTATGACATGCATTGGAAGACTTATAAGTTAATTGAATTTTCCCCCTTATTTTCTACATTGAGAAAATAATGAAGAGTAATATGACTCAGTATTACACAGTCAGCTCCTAAATCAAGATAATACGAACAAGTGTGAATGGATGGATTCAATCTCTCTTACCCTCAGCTGTCCTCCAACATGATCAGGACCTCACAGTCCTATCATTTATAAGGAAATAGGGATACATTTACCTTCCCTTGAATTACTTGCACAATCCTAATGAAGCAAAGGAAATGAAACTACACGAAAATCGGCACTAGCACCATATATGTGCTTGCATTTGTGTGATAACCGCAAGAGTAAGAATGGCCACAGTCATATTTAACTCACACTAATTTCAGTCTGGTAATCAACTTATACCAAATCAGGATGAACAGGAATTGAAGCCTAGTCAGTCAAAGCAACGTAAGAATTTGTCTCGGAAAAGAACAAATCAACTAGTAGCTATCTGCTTTTCAATACTTATGCGACCCTTTTGACTATATGCTTCACTCCAAATTTCAAAATCCCAAATCTCTATGTAATCAGCGGAATGCCACATTTGCAACCCTTTAGTCGTATAAATAGCTTAAACACAAGAGTCATATCGAGATCAAACAAGTTAAGCGTGTATCCATCTCCCACATATCTTTAACTTCAGCAAAGTTATTTATCTTAATCCAATATACTACTGCTTAAATAGAGACTTTACAGAATTAATAGTTTAAGAAGTCTGTAATAAGCAACAGAACAAAATGTCGGAAGGTCAATGAACAACATATATTGTAGAGATAAAAAGAACACAAACCATCTTGGGGGGTTAGAGGATAATCAGAGGCACAAAGATTGATAAACCAGTCCCAGTTCTGAGCCTGCTTCAACAAAATGGCAACGGCGTGAAGCGTTGAAGCAATCACGGTAGGCCCTTTGGAAGTGACCAAATCAGCCTTCCCTATCACCATCACATTCCTAAACTTCCTGATGACCACCTGGGATTTGGCAAATTTTGCGAGCTCCAATCTGTCAGCATCGGATGCTTCCAAATCGAGATGCAACACATAGTAGTTCCGGGGATGATACACAGCCTGAAGCAGCCGTCTAAGACTGCCTACCTCGGCTTTGGTGCCGGAAAGTAGGTAGGCAAATCGAGGAAGCTCAGGCAATGCATCTAACTTTAAAGCTTCGCCAAAATCCGGGGCAAGTGAACCCGATAATTGGTCAGCTGGAGATGATGAAGAATGGGATGAAATTAGCTTGACTACTAGCAGCAAAGCCAAAAGGGATACGACAATCAAAGGAATTGAGCATTTTCTGTGGGTTCGTTTGGTAAATGGATTTTCTTTCATTTGTCCCTTCTCCTAAGGTAATAATAGAGGATTTTTTGTATACGGAGAACGTAACGAGGGAAGTCAAGTTTAATGAAGAATTCAGACTGTGGGCTGTGGTGGGTGGGGTGCTGGTGGTGGTGGTGGCCGTAGACTTTATCCAATACTGCATTGAATTTGAAGGAGTGAGTTGGTGTTTGATTGTTGACGTAGCTTAGGCTTAAAGGGAAACCTTCAAAACCCAACAATAGGCTTGAAGGGGTGTGTGTGTGTGGGACACTGGGATCGGTTCGGAGGTTGATTTGATTTTGGACAAGAAAGTGGAAGGAAAGAGATTCTGTTGTGTCGGAGGAACGGACTCTGAATTGTCGGAATTCAGGCTCTAAATCCCGATCCGACCCGGTTTGTACAGAAACCATTTTTGGTTTTATTTTTTTTTCGTCGTTTGGTAATTTGCTGTGAGGGAAAGTCACGTGGTTGTGCGATAACGTGAGGGAAAAAGTCACGTGGTTTCTTCCTGAACATATGTTTGGCTAGAGAAAATAAAAAGTTAGTGACAGTTATTACAATTTTTGCGCCTAATCACCATTTCTCCTTAAAATCTTTGTTTGGATTGCATTTTTTTTGGATTTGTATAGAAAAATTATTGTAACAATTTGATATATATAAAATAAAAAAGTGATTGAAAAATGTATTTACTAAAAACGAAAAAACTTGCTGTTCAAACAACACAGAATGCAGCAGGTAAGTGTGAAAAACATAACTAATTTTCCCTCATTTTTTCGTACCCTTCCTTTCAACCAAACACTACTATCTGGTAGACGGAACCATTGTGGATGAGCATGGCGGTGGTATGAAAAAATTCACTTGGGTTTGTTTGGATTGAGATGATTTCAAATAAAATAATTGGCTTCATAAATTTTATTTATTTTTTTATTTTTTTAATTATTTTTTTATCTTTTACACATCACATTACAAAAAATTTTATAGTAATTATTTCAAAAAAACTCAAAGAATTTTTTTATGAAATAAGGCCGATGTATCTTGAACTGATTTCTTACCCTCCCTTCCGTTCGACGTCAGGGGGGGGGGGGGGGAAAAGAATTGAGCTGACATTAGATCCGTTGGGCACAATTTGCAATGGATGTATTTTGGAATTGGACTGGACAAAAACACGCCAGTCACATTTATCCTCCAACGTTCATTCGAATCAAAAGAAGGCGAACATAGCCTGAAACTACTCTTTCTTATCCATTGTAGGTGGACCAGTAATCGGTGAATCAACTTCATAACCATTTTCTGGCCTGCTTTTAAGAGGGATGAACTGAAGGACATTTTAATTTCGTTACTGTTTGCACAGTTTTTTTTTTTTTTTTTTTGTTGGGGTTAAGGTACATGCAAAAGAAAGAACGGGCCTTAAAATGGCCGTTTTTTCATGTTTGGTAACTTAAATCTAAATTGCATCTGATAAACTCCACTTCCCTCAAAGCTAGAGGGTAAAAAAATATATATATACTTGAAAAAAGTGCCTTCCAAAAGAACTTTAGAATCCTTGTCCGGCGAGTTCAAGTCAATTGCTAGTGGTTTACTTTGAATTCTGGAAGAACCTACCTCCAAGATTAGAGTCACTAGACGACGGAGAAAGAATTCAACTAAGGGTCTGCTTGTTTCAGGTCCGTTTGTTTCAGGTGAAAATATTTTCTAGGAAAATATTTTTCTAATTTCTCGTGTTTGATTGCATAAAAGTTACTAAAAATATTTTGTAGTATGTTCTTTTTTTTTGTGTAAAATATTTTCACTCATCTTATGGAAAATAACTTCCTTTCCAAACTTACTGAAATTGTTTTCCGCATTGCATGTATCTCGCCTGTAGTATGTTCCAAACTTACTGAAAACATCTTGTAGTATATATATATATATATATATATTTTTTAGTGTAAACAGGAGGACTCGAACCCAAAATCTCTTCCTTACACTCTCTTCCCCGTACCACCCAACCCCCCTAGTATATTCAAAATTAAAAAAAAAAACCTTATCCTGCTCATCCTATGCTAGTAATTAATTATGTATAATAGGGACATTCTTTTCTAAAGAAACTTTCAGCAGTGAGAGTGCAAGATATATGTCATAATAACCATTGCATGTAATTGATATTTGACACTAAATGACCAGCAATTTGTTTATTGCTTAAGGAGATATTTTTTTATTCATATATACATTTCTCCAAGATTTTTTAAAGTTAAACAATGAGATAAATTTTCTTATTTTGCATGGGAAGAAGTATGTAGTTATAATGTATAGAAAGTAAAGATAGAGATAAAAGTGAAAATATTTCAAAAGTTAAACAAACACCAGAAAAATGAAATAAGAAAATATTTTCAATAAGCTAATCAAATACCTGAAAATGATGAAAGGAAAATGATTTTCATGAAAAATTACTTCCATAAAAAATATTTTCCAAGAAAAATATTTTACTTCCAACCAAATAGACCCTCAGTGTAAAATATTTTCCCACAAAAGATTTTCAAATTAAGTTGAAAAATACTACCACTCCGTCACCGCCTCCGTCAGTGTCCACCTCAACCCTCTCTTTCAACAAAATGTCTTTATTCTTCCCCCAAACGCATAACCCATCCCACCCTTTTCCTTCACTTCCAATGATGAAAGCCAGAGGCGGATAATGACTATTTCCAAGTCTTCAACTTCTCCTGTGTATATTTAAATATTCAACTCTAGAATTGGCTAAATCCCGAAAAAACTCGGCTGCCCCCTCTCTTATGTTCTCCTTTGTGCTTAAATAATTGTCAGGCCACAAGAATTGAGGTGGTGAAGCAAGAGAGGTTGGTAATCGAGGGAATAGTTGCCTTGAGATCCAAGGCTCCAAACAGAGAAGAAAGAGAAGAAATGATTGTTTTGAAACATGAGGCTGCCAAGTAGTGAAACCACGAGGGACAAATTTTTTGTAAACTATTTTCCGGACTAACCCAAACACGGGAAAATTGATGGATAAGCAAATGTTTTCCCGAAAATGACTTTCACAGAAAATATTTTACCCCCAACCAAACGGATCCTAAAGCCATAATAATTTCAGACTTAAATTCCACACAATGAAAGTCCTAGTTCATGTCAAGTAAATGCCTCTAGATTGAGTTAATTGAAGTTTAAAAAGGACGCAGAAAAATCCAGCCGACATCGTTTTCCCTTTTTTTTTTTTTTAAGGAATCCGACCGACATCTACCCCAATAGTCCAGCTGTCAGATCTGACCGCAACCGATCTTATAAAGTACTATAAGACCCTGATTACGTGATGAAGATTTATTCAAGAGGTTGTGATGGCTTCTACTTAGCCGCTGTAGCTGTTTAGTTTTCTGCACCAATAAGGTTTTTACTATAAATAACACCACCAACCACCCCATACCTCTTTTACAAACCGAAGCCCCTTCTTTGAAAAAAAAAAGAGAGAGTTTTTATCAGTTTATCCCCTTAAATTATACTTGAAACTGTCAGTTTAGTCCATAATATTAATTTTTAATCACTTAAATCCATCTGTTAAGTCAAAGTAGATAATTGACCATTAACCCATGTAAAAATTTCCCTAGAAGGCTTTTTTCTCTTTTATTTTTTTAAATTGTTCACAAAATTTTTTATTTTGTGCAATACCTTGTCAAGGCTGCTCCTGTGAAGCCTACTACTGCTGGTGCCGGCGAGAAGAAGCCGAAGAAGGCTGTTGCTCCAAAGAAAGAGGCGGCGGGTACCAAGAGGAGGAGAACTGCTAATGTGGAGAAGAAGAAGCTGAAGGTGGTTGCTGCAGTGTCAGCGAAAGCCAAGAAAACTCCCGTCAAGAAAGCTCCGGTGAAGAAGGCGGTGAAGAAGCCTAAGAGCCTCAAGTCGCCAGCGAAGAAGCTTAAGAAATGAGTTACGTGAATTGGGCTCTGGAGGGATTAAGGAGTAAATGCGTAAATTCATAGATGGTCGGGGGTTTGGGAGGAAATTCGTTGTTATTTCTTATTTTAGCGTTCTGTTTTACCATTTAGGTCGTGGTTGAACTTCTTAGTAGGTTATGCAATCAAGGGCAGTTTGACTCAGAAATTATGCAATCAAGGGCAATTTGACTCAGAAATTATCAGTTTATCTTGTGTTTTGGTTGAAATTTGGGTGATTGACTATAATATTTGTGATTTTGTTAATCTTGACATCTTGTTTAAGATATTCTACGCTGCACAGAATAAAATTTATTTTTTAGGGTTTTATGGACATGTTTGTCCATTTATAATTAAGTTAGATCTAAACATGTCTTTTTACATAAACTATAAAATGTCGTCTCATTTGATCGCTAGTCCAAGGATTTAAGTGACTAAGAGTTAATGTTAGGGACTAAACTAATAGCTGAGATATAGTTTAAGGGGATAAACTAATAAAAACTCAAAAAAAATTGCTTATCGGTTGTCGTTGTTCTGCTCAGAACAAAAATACAAATGTTAAATAAAATAATAATAATAATATAATAATGCATAAGTGCGGTGAAGTGAGGTATAGATTTTTTTTTTTTTTAAGGTAATATAAACTTTCAGGGCCGAATTAATTTCGATGCAGCAGAATCTCCAACTTGTCACTCTCAGGAACAAAAAACCCAATCACACTTACTATCACTCGTACAATCAAGCAATGATAGCTTCACTAACACCAATTCTTCTTGCCAAGCTATGAGATAGAAAAATAGAGAAAATAGATGCTTTACTCTTATTGCTCGTATAACTCTGAAAGCGTACATAAGTAGTAGTGGCATCAGCAGCCTTTTTCCTAGTCAGGATTCACACATTGTAGTATGCTGTCTATTTCTTGCAACACTCGTGATAAAAACTAGTCAAAAGTTATAATAATATGCTAGAAAAACAAAGGAGTTATTAGCTAATTAAATTTATTTAAATTAGAATTATAAGTTACGAAAACCTTTAATCTCTAATAGAAAAGTTGATTAATCAAATGTAATCAATTGCCACTAACTCAAAAAAATCGTTACCAATTTTTTGTCCCTTATAATATTTGCATTTATAAATGCAACAACAGTTATCAATTATCATCGCTCTTCCGCTTGTCTCGCGCAAATTGGCACGCAACTTTCCTGGGTATGATTCGGTAAAACATTTTACAAGATACTAAAAAAAAAGAGTACCAATTATGCAACGGGTAAAAAAAAAAAAAAAATTCTTGAATATTTCGCCATTTTCTTTCGAAACTCCTTTCGACGTACTCAATTAATCGTACCCTCACATTAACTGCTTTAATTGAAATTATGTTGTAACGCTCTGTAAACCTTTTGGTGTCCCAGGAAATTAATTTACATGGGGAACATTGATCGCGGTCCAGAGATTCAGAATCAGAGGGAAAGAAAACAGGAACGTCGGCCTGGAGTAATATGTAAACTAGAAAAACTAGAAAAACTAACACAGAGTACTAAGGGGACAGAGAAAAAAAACTGTTTTGTTTTCCTTTTTTGGGTGGATTATATACAGTTAAACTAAAGAAGCAGCATCAGGCAGACCTTGGCGGAAATCATCATCCGGTCGTGGTGGTGGTGGTGGCTTGGGACGTTGTTTGGAACGGATAGTGGGAACGGAAGCTCGACAAACAGGACAATTGGAATGAGAAGACAGCCATTTATCGATACAGGTCAGGTGAAAAGAATGTTTACAATCGTCGAGCCGTCTCACATAATCTCCCTCCGCAAACCCCGCCAAACAAACCGGGCACTCGACGCCGTACTCTTTCTCATGATCCGCCTCCTCGTCTTTTCTATACTTGACACCACCGCTGCTGCAAACATCCTCCACCGCCTGTTTATTAGCTTCTTTGCTGCTGCTGCTGCTGCTCAATTCATGATGACGCTGCCGATGAGGTCTTCTGAGGGGGATGCGGGGGCAGTTCATGGCGAAAAAGAAAGCGTAGATCAAAGCAGGGATGGCTATAAGCACTAGAAGAGAGAGGATAGCTGTGAGAGGAGACATGCGGGAGCTGACGGTGTGAGTGTGATTGAGGCGGAGGTGCGCCGACCAAACAAGGCAGCTGGCAGCGGTGGTACTGCTACAGCTGCAGTTTGTGCTGTTTCTGTTTGGTTAGCGATGACGACCGTGCTGCCCTTGGAGTTGGACTTGTTGCTCCTCTCGTCTCGTCTCGTCATGATAAGGCTAAGCGAAGCCAGCGACTTTTCTTTTTCTTTTTTCCCCTTTTTTTTTTTTTTTCTTTGGGGTGATTATTATTTATTAGTACTGTGTGACAGACAGCAGTAGTATTATATACAGGCTGCGAATGATTAATTTTAATTTAGCTGAATTGTTTAGATTTTAATCACTGAGGCAAAACTCAATGTCCCCCAAAAAAAAAAAAAAGACTAAATTCTTTTTTGAATTATAGACAGGAGATTCAAATTCTACTTACAGTGAAAAAAATTTAAATAAAGTGTCAGAGCATCTCAATATAGGTAGGATTTTATACCTATTAATCCTTTATACATAGTCTCTTTATGCTCTCCTAACTCTGTAGATTAGAATAGATTATGTTATAAAAATAGAATCTATTTCCTGCAAAAAAAAAAAAAAAGAATTGTTTAGGTTCGAGAAATTGTGATGGGCTGCAGCCTGTTGTAGAGGTGAAGCTAGTGGTCCCAAGACATAAGCTACAGGACAGATATTGATTACTATTAATTTATGATAGGAGGCAGGAGGAGTATCATCACAGTTTTGTAGCATGATTTTTAATTATTGAGACGGTCTCCAGCCTCACTGCGTGCGTGGTGTGGGCTGAGATGGCTGCTTTCCATCTACTCCTCCTATTTTGTGTGGTTCAAAAATCGTCCAGATCAACTCCCAAAAAAATAATAATAATAATAATGATGATGATAATACGTATTTTGATCAGCTGCCATATGGAGTATTTTCACGTGTCAACTTCTGGATCCTGTGCATTTAACTCGCACTTGAGTTATGGCAGGATTTTGGAAAAGGGCAATGTTATTAACACTTCATTTCTTATTTAATTAATGACACCTAACATGGTTTTGTGAAATACTCCCTCCCTTTTTTTATAACTGACGTTTAAGGTTTTGTACACCAATTAAAAAAAGTTTTTTATTATTTAAATCTATACACTACTTTCCTTTTGTACCCTCATTAATTGTCCAATTCACCCATGTTTTCTCTCACTAGAGTATTAAATGGTGCTGTTTTACTAGACCAAAAGCAATGCAAACTAACTCCCACCAATTATGAAAAGAGAGATAAAAGGGTAAAATTGTGAAAAAATAATTAATGCTGCATGGGGATAATAAAACGACAGATAAAAGTAGTTAAGAGCAAATTTCTTAAACGTCAGTTATAAAAAAAGGGAGGGAGTACTATACAATACAAAGAACGTGATGTGTGCCATTAATAATGTCCTTTATGAAATTATAAGTAGTAAAGGTAAGCTATGAGCTCTAAGTGATTAATTCCCCTTCTTATCCGTTAAAGTGAGCTCGTTTACTGCAAGTATAAATACTAGGATTCGCTCTCCTTTGTGTTTATTTTTAAATTAAGCATCAATCTTGCTAGCAATTACATATTTTTGTCAGAAAAAAAAGTCCTCTCAATATCTCAATATGGCATTGGTGTAGATATTTTTTTGAATATGAACAAAGAAGAGATGATAGGCTCGTGGCTTGGCATCGCGCATATAAAAAGATAGGAGACATTGTTCGACTAATAAAGATAAAATTTTAAATTCGTCAAAGAATATCTTTAGCTCATCGTTTATTGGTTATTCCATGTAATCATTTTTTTTTTTTTTTTGTGAAATTAACTTCTGCAGAATCTAAAACAAACGAGCTTTTAGTTGGAAGCTCAAAATCTCCGTCATCTTTTTCTAGCGGAACGGTCATAATGCATGGTATTTTTTAAAATGTACATTGAGTGACGTGGAAAGCAGGATCGATTGCAGTATCTTTGTGTAAGAAAGGATCCACCGTTGATTAGGATAATATGAAACTCATTTTTCAAAACACAACTCGTTTTCCATGTGTTTTACTAAGTTTACCCACTGTCCGCCCCCCCTCTCTCTCTCTCTCTCTCTCTCTCGCTCGCTGGCTCGTCAAATTTTTGGTTCATCTGATTTTGACCCGGTAACAACCACCGATGCGCAGAAATGCCTTTTCCACTTATTTCCTCACTTTTTGGAGGCTAAGTTTGGGCCCCGTTCATTGGCCCAATTTTTGTTTATGACATGCTCATCTAAGGCTTAGTTGTTCAACGTATTCTTATGGGCAGGGTCTTGCTTCTAACAGCATACTAACCCGTAATAACTTATTATTTTATTTTTTATTTGTAACACAAAATATTATTTGCACTCTTTTTTTTATTTACACTCTCACCATCTGTTTTACTAGTACATACTAGTATCCACTTTCGACTTTTTTTTTTTACCCAAATGGTATGACTTTTGTCTATAAATCTTATCACAGAAGACACCTCAAAAGCCGCAACTCTTGAGGAGCTCCTAAGGACTTATAAACCCAACCCAAACCCTCCCAGTGAACCGATGTGGGATGGAAATCCCACAAGGGCAAGCCAGTAGGGCCGCCCGACGAACTAGTTCCTCTAGACCCCAGTATAACTCCCCTATGTGTACCCATCATTTGTCTTTTTATCGAAACGGTATGACTTTTGTCTATAAATCTTATCTCAGAAGACACCTCAAAAGCCGGCAACTCTTGAGGAACTCCTAAGGACTTATAAACCCAACCCAACCCCCCCCAAGTGAACCGATGTGGGATGAAAACCCCGCAGGGGCATCCACTTTCGACTTTGTTTGTCCCTATTCGGCTGTTGCAATAGTTATTGGACAATGTGTATGCGTGTTTCACACGTAGCCCACAGTTCACACCCAACAGGAAGCCTTGTTTGGATAGCAATTTTATAAAGAAAAATTGCTACGTCTTTTTTAAACATATTTTTTAATTATTTTTTTTATTTTATACATATCAAATCCTAACAGTAATTTTTTTTTAAAAAAATTCAGAAAAATACAATTCAGCCTTCAAGCCAACTGAAAAATAAAATAATATCCGTGTTAGTATAAAAGTTGACGTCACGTACTCACATGGTATGCTGGCGGGACGTGAGGAGGCGCAAAAATCATAAACTGACTATAATTAAGCAGGAGGAGGGAGGAATGGTAGCATACAACTGAGGTGGTGGAGGAAGAGCACCGGTGGCAGCACGGGGCAGCGAACAAACAAGATCCCTAGGGGAAGATCAAGATGGCAAGGTTTCAGCACGGCAGAGCGGGCAGTTACGGTGCGAATGCAACCACCTGTCAATGCACGACCCATGAAAAGTATGCGTGCACTCAGGCAAGACCCGAACTTCATCGCCTACATTAAACTCGCTCAAGCATACGGCACATATGTCATCGTCTTCTTTGGAATATTCTTTGCTAGTACTGTCGTTGTAGTTGGAGGTTATGATGACCGGCAGCACGTTTGAGAAGCTTCCGCTGCTACTGGTGGCCTGTTCCCTGTTGTAATCAGCAGCAGCTGAATTCGCTGGGGCTGTCGGAATCGTCCTCCTCCTAGCCGGCGATCTTTCACTTTCAGTATCACAGCACCAGCGAACCATGATGCAATGGAGGGTTGCGACTATCAGAGCGCCGGCCATGACTCCCAGAAGGCCGACCAATAGTGGGCTAATTTCAAGTCCGCCATGATGCTGCTGCTCCATCACATCACCAACTTATGCTTCCTTTGCAGGGACTGTCCAGATGATATATATCTCCCACTTAATTTGCTCAAAATAAATAAATAAACAAATCACTAGGAGTCCTTCATAATTCAGCAATATCGTGTTTTATACTACTAAACATAGGCATTTAGTTGTTTGTTTGTCTCAATTTTAGGCTTTTGTTTTTGTTCCTTTTTGTCCACCGCCGGTAGTGGCACGCCGCGAGTACGTATACATCTACTAATGCATTTGAACATTATTTTGGACCCAATTTGGGATTTTCTAGCTAAAGAAAGGAAAAGATAAATGCTTTTGCTTCAATTTTTCTAGCTCCATCAGACTCATTTTGTTGACTGGACAAGATTAAATCGGAGTGGAGGAACATGTTGACTGACTCTTTTATTCGGTTCTTTATTTTGAATTTTGCATGCAAAGAGAGCACTTGTACAACAATTTACAATTTTCCCATTTTTTATTATGTTAAATCCTCGATTTGACTAGTGATTGAGAGACGCCAAGGCCCATGGGGCGACCTTAAATTAAATGTCCGTTTTCTCAGTTAGGGACGAACCTAATTTTTGGTGTTATATCCAGTGCTTGTCAACAATATGGAAGCCCAAAGGCTGCAGCCCAGGTCACAAAGGGTAAATCAATGGGATAATACCAAAAGAACTTAACAGTCTCGGTCAAATTATGGGTTTCAAGTTCCGTTAATCTCCCACCGCCTAGAAGATTACACTGTCGCGAAATCGTTTTGTGGGATTGACGTTCATTTTTTTCTTTTTTTTTGAAAAAACATTAACAAACTTGGCATAGATTTTGTTTGAGTATGTTTGTTTTTTTTATCCACTATCAATGTATAATTTTTCTTATACTTGCAGGGTTTAGATTATGTCACATAACATATATCAAATTTAAAAGTCAAATCATACATATGTGACATACATTCAAAACTGTTAGTATAAAAAATCGCTACACTTTCGGTGTACAAAAAATTAATTCATTTTGTTAACTTAAGGTTACTACTAATTGTTGTTACTTTCAAGATTTGTTAGTCACTTGATTTTTTTTTCTTTTAAACAAACTCACAAGTAATTACAGTATTACACAATTCGCAATTGTTTCTCAAGGACCTCAACTCTACATAAGTGCCCCACCAAAAGATTTTTTTTTTCCCAACTGACTGTAGCATAAGGCCGAAAGAAGGAAATAAAAAGAAATGCAGCGATGCCAAAATAGCTACGTGGATACTGCTTTTCCGGAATTTCCTGGTACGTATCCGAAAGTAGAAAAGAACCTTACCAAGTAAACTCCGGGCCGGGGAAAGAAAACACCTGAATCATACAAGTCTGAAGTCACAACTACGACAGCACGGAGCACACACACACGCCGGTGTTATCTGACTCAGAAACTAGGGGTGTTTCGCGAATCGAGCCGCTCGCGAGCGGCTCGAATACGAGCTCGACTCGAGCTCGTCAATATCGAGTTCAAGCTAATTAAGTCGATCTCAAACTCGAGCTCGAGCTCAAAAACATTAAGCTCGTTGGCTCGCGAGCGGCTTGCGAGCTCAATTATATATATATTTTTTATTTTAATAATAAAATTACATATATATTTCTAATATTTTATTATTTATTAAAAAATTATTATTTTATTTATTTTTAAAAATAAATAATTATTTTTTATTTTTTAAAAATAAAATAATAATAATTATTTTTTTATTTTTTAAGCTCGAGCTCGATTCGAATTTGACTCGAGCTCGATATTTTGAGCTCGTCGAACTTCACAAAATTAACTCGAGTTCGGCTCGTTTGCACCCTGCTGAGAACCATCTCTATGCCTTGTGTCTCTTACCTTTTCGGGTTTTATTAACAAAAAAAAAAAAAAAAAAGCCTGCGTCAGTCTTGTAACAAGTTGCTACGTACTCTATACAACCTACCGGATGCACTTTTCGCCATAGTATTAGTATTAGTATTTGTGCTCGTAATAATATCATCATTAGTGGAAAGATCATATGATACATTTTCTTGCTATCAGAAGCCACTGATCAAGAATCATCATCATCATCTATCTAATTATTAACGCATTCTGTCACTGTTGCCCCTTTAATCTCTTTTTCTAAAAAAGAATTATTACCCGGTGTGAAGAATGTGTCAATCCTAATAAGATTTGCACTTTTACCATATGCAACTCCCTGTCACAAGAGAGAGAGAGAGATGCATCTCGATTGCTTGAACTTAAAAATTAAGTAGCGGGAGTATATTCTTTTGTGTTTGAATTAAAATATAGGGCCTGTTTGGAACCTGGGTTTTTTGGGAGTTTGTCTAAAACTTTACTGTAGTGCACTGTAGAAGTTTTTGAAAAAATTTTATAGAAATTTTTGTAAGGTAAAAAGTTTTGTAGAAGTTTTTGTAGGGTGAAAAACTTTTTTTTTTCCTTTTTTTTTTCTTTCTCTTTCTCTTTCTCTTTCTTTCTTTCCTTTTTCTTTTCTTTCCTCTCTTCTTCTTCTTCCTTCCCCCTTCCCCTTCCCCATTACCTCCGCCACCCCCAGCAGTAACTCCACCAATGCCATCTCCCGCCACCCCCTTTGCCCCTTCCCCCTCTGCCCCGTCGCCCCCTCCCCTACCCCTGCAAAAGCTTCCCCGTCACCCCTCCCTCTCCCTCTGTCTCTGCCGCCACCTGAGTTTTGCACATGAGTTTTGCAGCAACAGAAATGATTTTTTTTTTCCAATGTTCTATCTCCCTCTCCTCTCCTTATCTTGCCGGCAGAATAAGCAGCAACAGCCGAGTGTAATTTTTTTTTTTTTTTTGCAATTTTCCTTCTCCCCAAGCTGCGGGAGGGGGAAGGTGGCGGGGAAAGGCAGAGGGAAAGAGGGGAGGGGGGAGGGAGAAAGAAAAAAAAAAGAAAAAAGAGATTTTGGAAACCAACATATCGGTCAAAGGGGGAAGGGAGGGAGAGAAAAAAAAAAAAAAAAAGAGGAAGGCCGGCAAAAGTTGGCCGGAATAGTTACCGGCACCGGAAGCGGTGGTGGAGGTGGTGGCCGGTTGGGTGGGGGAGGAAAAAGAAGAAAAGTTGAAGGAAAAGTTTTTTGTGTATTATTTTGAAGTGTGTAAGTAAAAAACTTATCAAAATTTTTTGGATTCCTGTAGCAAAAGTTGTTAAAAAACTAGTAGCTAAAAAACTTGGCCAAAAACTTCACTTCCAAACAAGCCCATAACTTCGTTCATGTGCTCATCGCGACATTTGGACGTTTTATTATCTATAATTCTGTCATTTGCTCGTTGGCGTTTCTCACTTCCTCGTGTGGATTGCTCAAACGTGTACCTAGCTAGCAGGCCTTTAGTAATATTTAAGTTTAAATAGACGTGTTGAATGTTGATGACCATCAATACATATGCTTTTCTGCGGTGGTTTATCCCTTATTAACATGCTTGGAATTAGGGGTGTGTTCGCGTCCATTCGAGCTTGAGTAATGCATTACTCGAGCTCGACTCGACATCAAGTTTGTTAAACTTTTAAAATTCGAGCTCGAACTCGAATTTTACTTCAATTTACGTTACTCGAACTTGAACTCGAGCTCGAGTTCGAGTTTAATTAAATCTAATAAATTTAAATCAAGATTGCCTATTTGAACTCAATCAAGCCTAATCAAACTCACGTAATAAAAATTCATATTTTACATATAATTTTAAATAAAGAATATTATTGACATTTCACAATAATAAATAAAAAAAATTAAAATATATATTATAAAAAAACTTGATTAGGCTCGTCAAGCTTTAGAACGCAAAATATTGAAAATCGAGCTTGACTCGCTATTTCTATCAAGCAGCTCGAGCCCGGGCGAGTTCGAGTCAAGCTATTCGGTCCGGCATCAACCCTACTCGGAACCTTTGCAGAAGCTTGGTTATCATTCGACAGTTATGTGCATCAGGACAAAAGGGAAGAGGCATCGAGAGAGAGAGAATACAGAAATGGAAAACAAAACAAAACAAAAAAAAGAGAAAAGGCTGCAACAGTTTGTAAGGAAGAAAACTTCAAACGGTGAAAACATGAGCGGCTTCCAAGTCCCATCCATGTAGTTACACATTTAAATGCTTCTAGTACTTCAATCAACCCAATGCACGGGTGAAAGCATGATGGAGTCCCGTTCGGTGAAAGGTGGCATGCTGCCTTTGGTTTGGTGCTTATATTATTGTCACCATGAATAATTGAACATGCACGACAAATTGAATTTTTAATCTGTGAATTGCATATTTTGATCACCAGTATGTTTTAAACTCCTGTCAACAGGAAATGACATACAATTATCCGGCCGTCAACGTGGAATGCTGCTGCATAAGCAGACTTTTGTTGGAATGCTTTTATTTTTGCGCACGTTTAATTGTCAAACAAAATTTTCCTACTAGTCGGGCAATAATGCAGAAGGCCACAAAGAGCAAAAGAAGACTCGCGACTCGCTTTACGCGGTTCAAAAAGCGCACAGGAACCTCGCTACTCTTCAAGCTAGAAAAGCCAACCTACTTTTCAGTTTTTAAAGATGAAAGAAGATGCTTTTATTTATTTAAGGGTCTTGTCTGTGCTGGTGAGGTCCATCCTCCCTCCTCAGGCCTCAATCAGACAGACGGAATTAATTGATGGGCGCTACCACCACCAAAAGAGCCGTGAACCGCTTGCCCTTTTCTTCCCAAAAGAAAGAAACAAGCAACTAGTACGTAAGACGTAGTTGACAATTCATCATTTTGGCCTGGCTGCCTAAACCCCATTTGATGACTGCCAGTAAATAAATGTCTATTTGTTTCACACCTTTACCACGCATGGAAGTTTGTTTTGACTGAAAACTTTTTCCCGAAAATATTTTCCTTGAATTCTTGTGTTTGGTTGCGTTATGATGCATGAAAATATTTTCTCATGTAAAACATTTTACGCCACACAGGGTAAGATAACTTCCTTACCTGACGAACTCCGATCTCTACCACACTAGATAAATATCTCTTTGATAGTCGACATATACAGGAATGGAGAAAGAAAAACGTAGCCTACGAGTAACATTCAAGGGAATTGCAACCCTAACAATTACCTCTCCTTCTCCTCCATATGTGCGGCCCTTTTTCTCTCACCGTTGCATATTCAAAGACATCCTCGCCGGATGCTTACAAAATTAGACTAAGATCTGCAGAAATCGAGAGGAATTGCG